GAACAAAAACGGCACAATTAGGTGAGCACAAATTAACCTCCACAAAAAAATCACTATACCGTCCCCGGAGGTCTGGTCAGCACAACACTACACAAACGTTTCTGAAAATGAATTCCTTTTTGTTTCGTTTCTGACTAATAACGGCAGCGGTGTTGCCTGGAAGTATAGAGGCACCAGTGTTGCCTGGAAGTATAGAGGCACCAGTGTTGCCTGGAAGTATAGAGGCACCAGTGTTGCCTGGAAGTATAGAGGCACCAGTGTTGCCTGGAAGCATAGAGGCACCAGTGTTGCCTGGAAGCATAAAGGCAGCAGAGTGGCCAGGGAACATAAAGGCACAAGAATTGCTAGGAAGTATAGAGGTACCACTGTTGCCTGGAAATAGAGGCACTAGTGTTGCCTGCAAGCATGGAAGCACCAGTGTTGCCTGGAAATACAGGCACTAGTGTTGCCTGCAAGCATGGAAGCACCAGTGTTGCCTGGAAATACAGGCACTAGTGTTGCCTGCAAGCATGGAAGCACCAGTGTTGCCTGGAAATAGAGGCACTAGTGTTGCCTGCAAGCATGGAAGCACCAGTGTTGCCTGGAAATACAGGCACTAGTGTTGCCTGCAAGCATGGAAGCACCAGTGTTGCCTGGAAATAGAGGCACTAGTGTTGCCTGCAAGCATGGAAGCACCAGTGTTGCCTGGATATAGAGGTACTAGTGTTCCCTGCAAGCATGGAAGCACCAGTGTTGCCTGGAAATAGAGGCACTAGTGTTGCCTGCAAGCATGGAAGCACCAGTGTTGCCTGGAAATACAGGCACTAGTGTTGCCTGCAAGCATGGAAGCACCAGTGTTGCCTGGAAATAGAGGCACTAGTGTTGCCTGCAAGCATGGAAGCACCAGTGTTGCCTGGATATAGAGGTACTAGTGTTCCCTGCAAGCATGGAAGCACCAGTGTTGCCTGCAAGCAAGGAAACACCAGTGTTGCCTGGAAGTATAGAGGCACAAGTGTAGCCTGGAAGCATAACGGCAGCGGTGTTGCCTGGAAGTATAGAGGCACCAGTGTTGCCTGGAAGTATAGAGGCACCAGTGTTGCCTGGAAGCAAAGAGGCACCAGTGTTGCCTGGAAGTATAGATGCACCAGTGTTGCCTGGAAGCAAAGAGGCACCAGTGTTACCTGAAAGTATAGATGTACCGGTGTTGCCTGGAAGTATTGGGGCACCAGTGTTGCCTGGAAGCATAGAAGTACTAGTGTTTCCTGGAAGCAAAGAAGCACCAGTGTAGCCTGGAAGCATAGAGGCATCAGTGTTTCCTGGAAGCATAGAGGTACAAGTGTTGCCTGGAGGCATAGAGGCACCAGTGCTGCCTAGAAGCACAGGGACACAAGAGTTACCTGGAAGCATAGAGGCACCAGTGTTGCCCGAAAGTATAGATGTACCAGTGTTGGCTGGAAGTATAGGGGCACCAGTGTTGCCTGGAAGCATAGAAGTACAAGTGTTCCCTGGAAGCAAAGAGGAACAAGTGTAAACTGGAAGCATAGAGGCACCAGTGTTGCCTGGAAGCATAGAGGCGCCAGTGTTGCCTGGAAGCATAGAGGTACAAGTGTTGCCTGGAAGCATAGAGGTACCAGTGTTGCCTGGAAGCATTGAGGCAACAGTGTTGACTGGAAGCATAGAGGCACCAGTGTTGCCAGGAAACATAGAGGCACCAGTGTTACCAGGAAGCATAGAGGCACCAGTGTTGTCTGGAAGCATTGAGGCACCAGTTTTGCCTGGAAGCATAGAGGCACCAGTGTAGCCTAGTAACATAGAGGCACCAGTGTTGTCTAGAAGCATAGAGGCACTAGTGTTGCATGGAAGCATAGAGGCAATAATGTTGCTTGGAAGCACAGAGGCAACAGTGTTGCCTGGAAACATTGCCTCCGTGTTTTGCATGGTTTTGTTGTTTATGTGGACTCCAAAAATATTGTGGCGTCCACATCAATATGATCTTGTACAAGTATGGCAATAATTATCCTGTGCAAGTGTGACAATAATGATTTTGTGCAAGTGGATCAATAATGATCTTGTACATGTGAGTCAATAATAAGTTTGGTAGTGAAGTTTGAATGTTAAAGTGAGCTACAACATATTCTTCCTTACAGTGCCCACCATGGTTGTTGATATTCCTAAGGCAACAGGAATATCAACATACTGTTGCCTTATTTCCTAATGCAACAGTAAGGCAATAACGTCTAAGGCAATAGTAAGGCATGAACTCCTATGGCAACAGTAAGGGAAGAGCTCCTAATGCAACAGTAAGGCAAGAGCTCCCAAGGTAACAGTAAGGCAAGAGCTCCTAAGGTAATAGTAAGGCAAGAGCTCCTAAGGCAAGAACTTCTTACGCAACAGTAAGACAATATCTCCTAAGGCAACAGTAAGGCAAGAGCTCCTGAGGCAACAGTAAGGCAAGAGTTCCTAAGGCACCGTTAATGCAAGAGCTTCTAAGACAACATTAAGGCAAGAGTTCCTAAGACAACAGTATGGCAACAGTTTTTAAGGCAACAGTAAGGCAAGAGTTCCTAAGGCAATAAGTAAGTCAAGAGCTCTTACCCAACATCAGCTCATCGGAAGTTTGCCCACATAAACTAATTTATTTAATGACATATTTTTCGTGTTTTAATATGAATAAATTTATTTTCATTGCCCAGTTATAATCATATTAAAGTACATTATGAAACTCGGGTCAACCTTCCCATTCACCTGGGCTCTAGAAGACTCTAACCCTCGACCCTACCTGTGTAAGGGTCAAGCTCTATCGACTGGTGCCAACTTTCCGCCGGATAGAATAACGTTATGTCATGTATATGAATGTTGTGCAAACTTGTTACAAATGTGAGCCTGCCTTGGGACGAATGGTCGCTGATGGAGTGAAATTTATGAGGAAGGGACAGCCATCATGAGACTGTTGATGGCTGAGCGTCTTGTGTTGTGGTTGCGATTTTCTGTGTGACTACCAAGTTGGGTCAGGTGGAAAAATTTGAAAATATATCCCTGACAGTATACATAATAGTATGTCCGCCAACATCTCTTGTTGTTGTTCTCTCGCTCTATTTATTTAAAAAAAATATATCCAATGAAGGTTTTAAATGCAAAGTAATAGACAAACAGCTAATTTAACATATTAATCTTTTTATTTCTTTAATTTTGCGTATAAACCTCATTACATATTGACCCAGTTCCTTATCACCGGGAGAGGAGACCACACATATGCCGGAGACGGCACAAATATCCCTCCGTTCCTGCCGAGTTCTTAAAAATCTGTTCCTTAATCATCCTCAGTCCGTCTCTCTCAAGCCCACGCTGTGCGTACCGATGAATTCTTTTACGATCTTGGTCATACGTGGAGTCCGTAGAAGCGTCTCTGGTTTGGTCTTGAAGGCGTCGCAGCAGGTTAGGGAGGAATGGACGCCAGTCTGCGTTGATGCGCATCGCTTCCTGGAACATCTGCTCTAGTGGAGGATGTTGAATATTGGTCACCTCCAGTATGTCCTGCATCAGACGGCCATAGGAAAATACATCGCTAGCAAATGTACTAGGTTGCCCCCCAAGGACTTCTGGGGCGTAAAATGGGTAATCCTCGGGGTCACCGCCCAGGTAGATATTTTCTCCGCTCTTGCAGGCTAGTCCGAAGTCGATTACGCTAATTTTTGGTTCATGGGGTGAGCCTTGAATCATTATGTTATCCGATTTGATATCATTATGAACGTAGCCCTTATTATGGACTTGTAACAATTTTATGCCAATCTCGAACCCGATCTTGATTAGGTCATACCTTGGATCGCACATTATCTTGTCTAGGTTGGTGCTCCCTTTGTATGTCGTGAGAAGAGCTAGGGGGTCATATGACACCCCGAGTAGGAGGGGAGCGCCGCCAGCCCCCTTCAGCTCCGACAAGACCTGAACTTCGCGCTCGAAGCTATTTAATGCCTTAGGACCATTAGCTACCTTAAGAGCGGCTGGCTCGCCATGCCAGTTAACCAGCGCGACGGTCCCGAAAGCTCCGGAACCTAGAGTTTTAGTCTTGTTTTTCAGCAACTTATAAACTTCGTCAAACCCAAGGAGTTCCATTCTCCCTGCTCCAGTTGTCTTATCCATCAAGCTAGGCGGGGACCACTCCAGGTTGGTAAGAACTAAACTGATGAAAACGAGCAGGTGTGAATATCCTAGAAACTAGACAATATAGTCAAGAGGATCACCAAGGATGGCCAAAGGGGCAGCTTGTGAAAATGTTCATGGTCGTGAGACCATATTTACCACCCATCATGTTGTCTTAGGAACACGGAGACATTCTTGACAGGACTTATCCTCTAGTTGTCATATGGAGTTTGAAGGCAACTGTTAAGAAGTGTGGAAGTGTTGAGGATGGTAAGTAGTGTGGTAGTGTTGGTGCGTATTGTGGTGTTAATGGTGAGTAGTGTGGTAGTGTTGGTGAGTACTGTGGTGGTAAAGGTGAGAAGTGTGGTAGTAATGGTGAGTAGTAGGGTACTGATAACGAAGATGAGTAGTCTGGTAGAGATGGAGATTAGTGAGGAAGTGATAGTGAGTAGTGTGGTAGTGCTGGTGAGTAGTAAGGTAGTGATAGTGAGTAGTGTGGTAGGGATCGTGAGTAGTGATGGTGAGTAGTGTGGTAGTGATTATGATGTGATGTGAGTAGTGTGGCAATGATAATGAGGAGTAGTGTGGTAGTGATAATATTTAGTGTGGTAGTGATAGTGAGTAGTGTAGTAGTGATGATATTGAGTAGTGTGGAAGTGATGATATTGAATACTGTGGTAGTGATAGTGAGTAGTGTTGTAATGATGGAACGAAGTGTGGTAGTGATGATGTTAGTGAGAAGTGTGGTAGTGATGATGTTGGTGAGTATTTGGGTAGTGATGATGTTGGTGAGTAATTGGGTAGTAACAATGTTGGTGAGTAGTGTGGAAATGAAGATGTTAGTGATTAGTGTTCCAGTGATGATGTGGATGAGAAGTGTTGTAATAATGATGATGGTGAGAAGTGTGGAGGTGATGATGATTGTGGGTAGTGTGGCAGTGATGGTAAGAAGTGTGGTAGTGATGATGTTGGTGAGTAGTGAGGTAGTGATGATGGTGAGTAGCGTGGTAGTGATGATGTTGTGAGTAGTGTGGAAGTGATGATGGTGAGAATTGTGGATATGATGATGTTAATGAGTTTTGTGGTAGTGATAGTACTGGTGAGTAGTGTTGTAGTGATGGTGTTGGTGAGTAGTGTGGTAGTGATGGTGTTGGTAGTGATGGTGTTGGTAAGTAGTGAGGGAGTGATTGTGTTGGTCAGTAGTGTGGTAGTGATGATGGTGAGTAGTGGGGTAATAATGATGATGGTGAGTAGTGTGGAAGTTTTGATGGTGGTGAGTAGTGTGGAAATGATGATGGTGTTTAGTGTGGTAATACTGATGATGGTGAGTAGTGTGGTAGTGATGGTGTTAGTGAGTGGTGTGTTAGTGATGTTGTTGGCGAGTAGTGTGATTGTGATGATGTTGGTGAGTAGTGTGGAGGTTTTGATGTTGGTGAGTAGAGTGGTAGTGATTGTGTTGATATATAGTGTGGTAGTGATGATGATAGTGAGTACTGTGGAAGAGATGATGATTGGTTGTAGTGTTGAAGTGAAGATGATGGTGAGAAGTGTTGCAGGGATGATGATAATGAGTAATGTAATAGTGATAATGATGGTGAGTAGTGTGGAATGGGTGACGTTGGTAAGAAGTGTGGTATTGATGATGATAGTGAGAATTGTGGTAATGATGATGATGGTGAGTAATGTGGTAGTGATGGTGAGTAGTGTGTTAGTGTTGGTGTTGGTGATTGGTAAAATAGTGATGGTAAGTAGTGAGGTAGTGATGGTGAGTATTGTGGAAGTGATAGTGAATAGTAAGGTAATGATGATGATGGTGAGTGCTGTAGTCGTGATGAAGATAGTGAGTGTTGAGGTAGTGAAGATATTGAGTAGTGTGGTTGTGATGCTAAGTATTGTGGTAGTGACGAAGATGGTGAATAGCATTTAAGTGATGATGTTGGTGAGTAGTGGAAATGATGATGTTGGTGAGTAGTGGAAATGATGATGCTGGTGAGTAGTGGAAATGATGATGTTGGTGAGTAGTGTAGTATTGATGATGATGGTGATTAGTGCGGTAATGATGATGATGGTGAGTAGTGTAGTAGTGATGGTGAGTAGTGTGTTAGTGTTGGTGTTGGTGAGTGGTGAAATAGTGATGGTAAGTAGTGTGGTAGTCATGGTGAGTAGTGTGGAATGTAGTGTGGTAGTGATGAGGATGGTGAGTAGTGTGGTAGTGATGATGATAGTGAGTAGTGTGGTAGTGATGGTGTTGGTGAGTATTGTGGTAGTGAGGATGGTGAGTAGTGGTTTGTGATAATGTTGGTGAGTAGTGCAGTGATGATGATGAGCAGTGTGGTAGTGCAGTGATGATGGTTAGTAGTGTGGTAATACATTGCTTGGTTGTGAGCTAGAGATATTGATGAGTATTACGGTAGTGATGATGTTGTTGAGAAGTGTGGTGATAATGGTGAGTGGTGTAGTGTATTGGTGAGTAGTGTGTGGTAGTGATGATGTTAGTGAGTAGTGTGGTAGTGATGTTGATGGTGAGTAGTGTGGTATTGATAGTGTTGGTGAGTAGTGTTATAGTGATGGTGTTAGTGAGTAATGTTGTAGTGATGGTGTTGTGAATAGTGTTGTAGCGATGGTGTTGGTGAGCAGTGAACTGGTAATGGGGTTGGTGAGTTGTGTGGTAGTGATGATGTTTATGAGTTGAATGGTAGTTGGAGTTGGTGAGTAGGGTGGTAATGAAGGTGTTAGTGTGTAGGGTGGTAAAGATAATATTGATAATTGATGGTAGTGACATTGTTGGTGAGTAGTGTTGTAGTGATGGTGTTAGTGAATAGTGTACTGGTAATGGTGTTTGTTAGAATTGTGGAAATGATTATGATGGTAAGCATTGTGGTAGTGATGATGTTGGTGAGTTTTGTGGAAGTGGTGGTGTTGGTGAATAGTGTGGGTGTGTTGGTGTTGCTGAGTAGTGCTGTAGTGATGATGTTGGTGAGTGTTTGGGTTGTAATGATGTTGGTGAGCAGTGATTTTCTGATGATGTGGGTGAGTAGTGTAGTAGTAATGATGATGGTGAGAAGTGTGGTAGTGATGATGACTGTGAGTAGTGTGGTAGTGATGGTAAATAGTGTGGTAGTGATGGTAAGTAGTGTGGTAGTGATGATGTTGGTGAGTAATGAGGTAGTAATGATGATGGTGAGTAGCGGGCTGATGATGATGTTGGTGAGTAGTGTGGTAATGAGGGTGTTGGTGAGTAGTGTGGTAGTGATGATGTTGGTGAGTAATGAGGTAATGAGGGTGTTGGTGAGTAGTGTGGTAGTGATGATGTTGGTGAGTAATGAGGGTGTTGGTGAGTAGTGTGGTAGTGATGATGTTGGTGAATATTTAGGTAGTAATGATGTTGGTGAGTAGTAAGGCATTGATGATGTTGGTTTAAAATGTGGTAGTGATGATGATGGTGAGTAGTGCAGTTATGATGGTGATGGTTTGTAGAGTGGTAGTGATGATGGTGTGAATAGTGTTGTAGTGATGATGACTGTGAGTAGTGTAGTAGTGATGGTGTCGGTGAGTTGTGTAGTAATGATGGTGTTAGTGAGTAGTGTAATAATGATTGTGGTGGTCAGTAGTGAGGTAGTGATGATGGTGGTTAGAAATGTGGTAGTGATGGTGATGGTGAGTAGTGTGGTAGCTCATATCCCTCAGTTCCAGGACCAGTCTGGTGGCATACCTCTGAATCTTCTCTAACTACGTCTTGTGTTTAACTAGGGATGGACTCGTGTGTAGTATGGATAGTTTGTTAGGTGTGATGAGGGCAAGTAGTGTGGTAATGATGATGATGGTGAGAAGTGTGGTAGTGATGGTGTTGGTGAGTAGTGTGTTAGTTGAGATGATTGTGAGTAGTGTGGTAGTGATGATGATGGTGACTAGTGTAGTAGTGCCGATGATAGTGAGTAGTGTGTTAGTGATGGCGTTGGCGAGTGGTGTGGTAGTGATGGTGTTGGCGAGTAGTGTTGAAGTGATGATGTTGGTGAGAAGCATGGAAGTGATGATGTTTAATTGAGAGTAGAGTGGGAGTTATTTTTTATTTTATTTTTTTTGCAGGGATATTCCTGCGCGGGCCCTAAGCCTCTGGCTGGCCCACTAAGTGTTGCTTGATTCTGTTTTACTTGGGCGGAGTATGAGTATTTATGACTCGTATGGTCGCTTCAGTAAGATTTTGCCATACGTGTTTAACAGCTTCTTCTGCTCTGTTGAATCTAAGTTGAAATCCTAATGTCACAGCGCTGACATTTCCTCTCATCTTCCCGAACCTGATGGTGTGGGTGAGTAGTGATGGTGTTGGCAAGTAGTGTGGTAGTGATGGAGTTGGCGACTAGTGTGGTAGTAATGATGTTGGTGAGTAGTGTGAAAGTGTTGATGTTGGTGAGTAGAGTGGTAGTGTTGGTGTTTATGAGTAGTGTGGTAGTGATGATGATGGTGAGTAGTGTGGTAGAGTTGATGATGGTTTGTAGTCTTGAAGTGATGATTATGGTGAATAGTGTTGTAGTGATTATGATGTTCAGTAGCGTAATAGTGATGATGATGATCGTGAGTAGTGTGGAATGGGTGATGTTGGTGAGTAGTGTGGAATGGGTGATGTTGTTGAGTAGGGTGGAATGGGTGATGTTAGTGAGTAGTGTGGTAGTGATAATGATAGTGAATACTTGGGTAAAGATGAAACTGACGAGTAGTGTGGTAGTGATTGTGAGTTGTGTGTTAGTGTTGGTGTTGTTGAGTAATGTGGTAGTAATGATGTTGGTGAGAAGTGTTGTAATGATAATGATAGTGTGTAATGTGATAGTGATAGTGAGTAGTGTAGTAGTGATGGTAAGTATTGTGGTAGTGATGGTGAGTATTGTGGTAGTTATATTGAATAATTTGATAGTGATGATGATGGAGTGTAATGTGGTAGTGATGATGTTAGTGAGAAGTGTGGTAGTGATGAATATAGTGAGTATTGTGGTAGTGATGATATTGA